CCCACACCCTCGAGATCTGTAATCAAACTGGTCGTTGCATGCAACTAACCACGTGTGTCTAATCGCGGTTTAACGTATCTTTATGCAACCAAGCTCTAGTAAACTCGACAAACCAGTATCCACTATTCACGCTTCGTTACCACTAGTAACGAGTTATCAGCACATTCTGTTGGACTCATATTTGTTTTATCCATATTTGTGTATTAAATTCGTCTTTAAAACTGCATGCAACATTACTTCTAATTCCATCATTCATACACTGGCTATTAGCCAGATCATTACACGTCGTACTGGCATTTTCTCCGGTTCTGTGCACGCATATTTTGCAAAAATCGAAAATAGGATACAACTTGATAAATACTACACCATACCTTGATATACAATCGTAGAAAGCATTACTTGTCCAGGGAGACGGTCACTTACTTGCAGTATGGGTCCAAAAATTGGTATAGTTTTTCTAGCCAGCGTTAACTATGCATAAACCAGGCCATAATACTAATTGCTTTATGTACCGTATTTCCAATCAGTCAAGCATGGAGAAATTAATTATCACACCACGAATAAGTAATGAGTCCAAAATCAATGTTAAATCAAGTTCTTTAAAAATCAGAATCATCGGGACTCCAGGCTATCGCGTTTGACCATACTCTTGAGTCTATAGGCATGCCCCTGTGTTAAAACTTCATTCGCTTACAAACGCTTAAATATAACGTAACCCATAAAACGGTACGCAAAATGACTGATCGACAAGTATGATTAACTAATTTTTATATTCCAAAATACCCGCTTGATCGTGCTTGTAGGCCTACTGTAGGCAACAATATGTAAATCATTCGTGAACCGCAAACTTGGCCAGCGATTAATGAATATAATGTTCACCTAGACATAGGCCTATTACGATGTTCAAAGCTCTGGCTACACCATCAACTGTTACACCTTTTTTTTTTATAAGAACACATTTTAAAGAAAAATGAGGCTGAAATTGCTTAAAAATTAAGAACAAAATAAGAACAAATTGAGGCTCAGGTAAAATGTCAAATGAAATTTTTATTTAAAAAAACATCAAAAACCTATAGGCCTATTTGTACCTTAAGTTCGGTAGGTGTGATTATATAATACTCTCTATAATACAGTACAGTAGGTGTACCTCCTGTCAGTTGGAACCATTTTTAGCACAGCCTTTTTTCTCGGGCCATTTTTTCCAGGCCTTTTTTTTCAGGGGCAATTTTTCGAGGACGACTTATACCTACATTCCGGTACAGTACCGTGTATACTGTAATACTTTTAAGTTTGAAAAGTGTGTAAAATAAGAACAAAATAAGAACATTTTGAGCCTGAAATCGGCCAAAAAATAAGAACACTGAGCCTGGGCAAAATTTTACTGGTTCTTATAAAAAAAAAAGTGTATGTGACAAATTTGTGTGGTGTCCCCATATAATATTATGAGCATGACGTCATATTGCACCCAAACAGATATTTGTCAAAACAAATGTGATAGTGTGGACAGCTTAGACCTACATTCAAACAAATCTCACATTGAAAAACTCAAGATCTCTTTGTAAAATCGGGACGCCTTCAAAACCTTATGATGAGACTGTTTCACTGTCTCCGACGACGCACTTGTGAAGTCTAGGCCTACCACATGGTTATGTGCCTTAGTAATTAAGACTCGTTGAGGTTTGCTTAAGTAGAAGTGGGTATGTGCAATCGATAGTAGATAAATATCATTACATTCAGAAAATATAATGTCAATCTTCTATGTTTGAATGACGAAGGCTGTTTCCAGAACATTAAGTTACTAATAGAAGACCATGTGTGTAACCTTTGAGATTCAGAAATCTATTGAATACCTCTCAAATTTCTATTTAGTGGAAGCTTCGAGAGGTCCGCCTTGCCTGTACTCCAACGAGGCCACTCAAACTTCGCCGTCAAGCCTCTGTCGCGCAAATATTATCTCTACAACTGTGGCAATTGCCGTGCATCTTGCGCACCATGGTAGTTGAGTTGTTTTGTATTAAGTGTCGATGAAAATACAGGTGCAGCCGACCTTTCGTTATAGTAGCTGCGTAATGGAATTTTGGAAAGTGCAATTATCCAGCCTACTGTTAATATTTATTATCATCCTATCGTGATATTTTCGTGACCTATCCTACATAGCCTACCACCAAAACCATAACAGTATGTTTGAATCGTGTCGTTTCAAAATGGACCGAGATCTATATCTTTAATATTTGACGTCATCATTAATTTCGAACCTGAAAGAAATCTATTCATCCTCTTACAACTGCAAGTACTGTGATATTTGCCTGTGATTGGCTATGATGGAGACAGAGCATTTCATGACGCGCGGGAGTAGGGCCTACCATTAGGCAAGACGCACCATTAATGGCGTGATTTCACAAGAAAGACTTTAATAAGGAGGTAGATGTACATACTACACTCAAAATCGCAGTATTATCCTAAGAGTATATAATTCAGTTTCTATTGATTTTTTCAAGCATCTGTCATTGCTTGCATGATGCCTGTGGTACTGACCTTGTCGCAGCAATCAACGTGGACTCTTCCAGCTTCGAACACCTTTCGTAACTGTTGCAAATCGCCCTTGATTGCAGCCTCGTGTAACTGCTGGTCCCACGGGGATTCCTTCTGAATACGAATAGAAAAAAAAATACATTATTAATAGCCGGAGGAAAATGATGATCAAACCATTGTTTGGTCAGACGAGAGTATTTGGTACCGGTTGACCGGGTAGTTCAGACATAAGGAACCCTCAGGGGAGAAAGGTACTGTCGAGCTTAGCTAGACCACACCTCGAGCACCTTGAGACTTCTGTATAAACGTTATATAACTAACTTCATTACATTACATTATTGTTGCTGATATTTATTATTATCATTATTAGGGCTATCATACTATCATCATTACTACCATTACACTTACCGTCTTCCTCCTCCTCACCACTCTCCTACTTCTCCTTTCATTATTATCATTTATTATTATTATTATTATTATTATTATTATTATTATTATTATTATTATTATTATTATTATTATTATTATTGGTCTGCCTGACGGGATCCAACCTCGACGCCGATCCGATGTCCCTGAAGACGGAGAGGGGGATGTCTCCGACACCCGTACACCCCAATTCCTGGATTAAATCCCCGGGCACCCTGGATGCAAGCTTTACATGACTCCTGACAGCCGAATTGATTTAGCAACCTAACATTGCAATTGATTGCGTACACAATTATGATATCGCTGCGGGCCTACACATATAGGACAGGTGACGTCATTGCGTTGACAGGAGTTGCTATACCTTAATGACCCTACGGCGGTATGGCAGGGACAGTATGGTCTATTGATGACCTCACATCACAAAGACATATTTCAGTGAAATAATCAATGACATTACTATAAATTTAATTCAACATCATACAAAAAAAAAAACACAAAAAAGCAAACACGGTAGTAGTTCTATCCTGTATGTAGCGAAGTTATTCATCTAATTAGATGATACTGAAAAACAATAAACACAGGCTACTACAATATCATTAACATACAACGTTTTTTATTTCTTCAACAAATTCACAAAAAATTGAGATATTTTTTATATATATATATATATATATATATATATAATACTAATAATAATAATAATATTAATAATAATATATAATAATAATATAAATAGGCCTATAATAAAAGCGTAAACTCTAAATCGTCTTGCGGCAATGCATATAATTTTTTTGTTAAAATATATATAATGTAGTACAGTGGGGTAATAAATAATATAAAAATTAGTAGCCTAAATCATCTTGCAACACTCAAACGTTGACCCAGATAATATAACTGCTCCGTACGCTAAATAGATGATATAGGCCTTATATCACCATAAGATTAACTCATTCATCCTTATGGTCCACTAAAACTAAATGTGAATGGTGTAATAAGCAAGCGTTACAAACGCTAATCTTTTGCCGGAGACTACTGCGGTTGAATTGAACTCATCCGCGCCGACCGACACACGAGATACGATACTCACGCTGATCATGATTGCCATATTCGGGGCTGTCATCAAAAGGTCCATATACTTATGCAATGGATGTTATTATAGGATCAGACCCACGTCATGTGCGTATATAGGAAAATATACAAATGATACTGTACTGTACTTAACTCATCCTAATTCTTTGGCCTATTCTCTATACAGTGTAGAAGGAGGTATGCAAGAATATCATATTTTTTATATATACAATATCATCACATCAAACAATCTATTGCCATTGCCTTATTTGGCCGTTCCTTTTTCGGACAAGGAGGCAATTAATAATAATAATAATAATAATAATAAATAATAATAATAATAATAATAATAATAATAATAATAATAATAATAATAATAATAATAATAATAATATAAGATTATTAATAATTATAATAAGTGGGATTTGTAAAGCGCATAATACAGAGGTTTCTAAGCAGCGCTAGATATTTGAAAATTCTTCAAGATTTCAAGAGAAGGAGACTCTCGGACAAATTACGCAAATTCCACACATTGGGAGCAGCAACCGGGAATGCTCTTTCCCCATCGTTTTCCGAGTACGACACGGAGGGACAAACAAAGTGGATGAGCTAGTTGTGGATCTTAGAACTCAGAACAAGTGGTGGAGCGAAGATTAATCAGGTTGGACATGATGGTGATTTACTATTTAATGATTTAGGCCTATAGGTGGGTAACCAGTCAGTGACGGCACTACGGGGGTGGGAGAAAATAGAAAATGTTCTTGCCCCCCCCCCCCACAAAAAAAGGGAAGAAAAACCACAATTCGTCGGGAAGAAAAACAGAAGTATATTTTCTACATATTAGTAGACTATCTATCCATAAAATCGATTAAATAAGCCTCTAAAACCCCTAAATCCTTGGACCACTTTCAGAACATTTTAATCGATGCCCGACCACGCCCACTTTGCTCTCAACGGGAAATTTCCCGAACTAAAATTGTATTGATTCACACCAAAAATACTTACTAATACCCCCAACTTAGGCCCGCCAAAAATATTTATCCGGCCTGCGACACCAGAAAGATATATTTTGTCCGCCTTGGTTGAGGAAGAGGGTGACATTGCTACAAAAGTGAAGACAATTTACTTTGTTTTTCCATGGGCAAATTAGCCACTTAATCCCAGAACTTCGTTATTTACAAGTAAACCGTCAGAATTAATAGAAATATTGATGACGCAATATTTTTAGTGAAATTAGGAGTGCCGTCTAGATTGGAAATGTTAACAAGAGTGGTCTATGTTTTGCCTTATCTTAAGTATCGCCTATAGTGGCATGATATGGGGGAAGAAATGTAAGTGGAATGCTAATGCTCTAGCATTTAGTGAGGCGCTAGCTTGGAAAAATAAAGTTTGACCGGGCCTACCAAAGTAATATAAGTTGATTTTTAACCAGTGGTGTCGCCAGCGAGGATCCGTTAGTGGGTGATTTTTATAGAGCGCTATATTAAGAACCTATATTAATTATTATTGTTATTGTTAAAGGACCTCAGCTGGGGAAACCACGGACTTCGCCCCGCTATGGAAAAATCAAATAATGTCTTTTGGGGAAGAGTGTCGACCCTCCCCTGGTCCCAACAGATTGGCACCGGACAACCAGCTTGTGTAACGAGTTTATAATAATGAGATCGATCTGCTGATAGCCCGGTCTTTACTTACAGCAGCAATAATTGAATATGAAATTAATTTACTGTCACGAATCATCACGACAGTTTGTTATACGAAGCTGCAGGCCCTCGTAGCGGGAACTGATAGTGTGCGGTTCAAAGATTATCGTTGTCAAAATATGATCTTTCTAGTTACCGGTATTGTGTTCGGGGGCGAAGCACAATAACAAAGAGTTTGATTGTGAAGTGGCCCTCTCAGGCAATGATATGGTTCGTTTGGCGGCAAAAGGTTATTCCCCAACCAAAGGACGGCCGCGTAAACGGGCTTTCTGTTCGCATGGCGATACTTCTACTTTTATTATTAATATATGTATTATGTATACATAGTCTGCATTTTAGTTGCAGTCGTAATTATGAAACGATTCTGGATTATCAATCGAAAAGGTTTCACGTACTGACCTTGTATACACAAAATAAACAATTCACTACACAGGGAGCTTCTGTATAGAAACCTAAAAGCGGCAACATACAGTATGACTTCGAAGTGTCGGAGTCTCTTAATGACAATAGGCCTATATATATCACAACAATTTCAGTACGGGTATTATTAGGAACTGGCCTATGAAAGGAAGGCGCGTGCATGTTACGTCATACGGCACCAGCTACGTGTGTGGTCTCCATCCCCCACCTCCAGCCCACGTGGATGTCTATCAAATTATATGAAATCGTGTGACCTGATACTAGTGTAGGCATAAAGACCCCAACTGCAATGTGTTCATGACTAAACTGAACAAATGATTCTTGCTCACAAATAACGAAATGCGCCGCGTGAGTGTGTGACGACGACCAGACCTCAACCTCCTCCTCCGTCGTACGTGCGCACCCTTTTGGCAAAATGCCAATTTGAAACATACTGTGTAAAACATCATAATATAAATTATTACCTTTGAAGACATATCAAAGCGGTCAGGATTATTCCGTTTAAAAAAATAAAAATCACAAGGCCACCGGAAGGAAGCAAACTCCGTCTTTCACCAACAGACGGCTCGCCCCCGATGAATTACAGACGACGAACAATACCTACACGACGGCCAGACTTGACAGTCCGTCTTTTAAGATCCACATGATTGTAGTTCATAATCCACACTCAGTAGCTATTCACGGCCGACTGTGAAGTGTGCTGCTATTTTTCTCATAAGTATAAACACTCACATAGAGGCATCCGACTCATCTGCAGCTTATGAATGATTTATGGTAACAAGCAGTGTATTGGCATTGCTTGTAGAAGATCAGAAAACACGATCTGATTGTCAACCGTTCTTTTTGTAAAAATTTCAGTGTGCTCCGACACAATCTATCGTTTGATTGTCATTCAGTGTTTCCCGTAATTAGGATCGGGCTCATTATTTCCCTGTTCCTGGGAATCTAATTTTAGTTGCGCTAGAGTAACTCGACACAAACCTTTATCGCTAATCATATGAATTATTCACTATCATTCTGGTTCCCGAGCGCACGAACATAAATTAATTAAATGTACGACAATGGCCGTATTCGACTGATCGTTCTTTGTTAAACCACGCCCACCTGCGCAGAGTTGTAAAATCTTACTTATTAACGAAGACGATCAGTCGAATAGAAAACTTGTAAATACTCGACAAAACAAAATGGCTGCATAGTTACCACGATACAAGCTGCGTAATCAGGATTGCTTCGGCTTGTCGCAATATGGATTTTTCGTAAAAGAAATGTTTTCATCCAGTTTTTGAATTCTGTTGGGCTACAATTTAATATTTTTTGACTTCATGTGGTGTGGGTAAATATTATAATTTTTATTTTCTTAAATTTAATCTAAATTATATTAACGCAAATGATGTTTTTAATCTGACCACTCGCCCATGTTTGTTTTGGTCACGTGGATAACTTAACGCAGATTAACGCACTCTGGTTACGTTAATTTTCGTTGTCAACGAAGTCTATTTTACGAACCAGTCGAATGAAAATAATACTCAACGAAAATTTGTAGTCAACGAAATGAGCCAGTCGAATATGCCCAATGAAATGCGCAGGGATTGTACAGAGGGCGACATAAATGTATACAGATTTTGTTGTGTGGGGTATTCCTGCAAGAAAGCCGTGTTGTCATTTTTCTACACTCTGCCGAGTTTAACTACAAAATGCCGGGTATTTATACATAGTTGGTCATAATAAAATAATTTAAGCACTTTATTTTTTCGTGTAGCATATTATTAATATTTTGCGTAGGCCTAGAGCTTAGGCCTAGGGGGCTACGCCCAAACTAATCAATAAGAGGGATTCCGCCTAGGCCTTAGTTTAGGCCTAGGATTTTATCTAGGGTGGGGGCGAGGCTAGGCCTAGTAGTAGTAGTAGTATAAGCTAGCATAGCCATAGGGGCTTCTTCTTCTTCTCGAGTCACTACGTAGCTAGTGTGTATGCTATATCTTGCTGTTTGTTAGTTTAGTTAGTGTGGTAGAAAAAGAAGGATTCGCAGGTAAGATACCTGACATGGCTGATGGTCCGCGACGTAAACGCTACATCTGTGGCTGGAGAGACAGACGGGGGTTTATTTTAAATGGACTGGTACACTGGGGTAACATCCTGCTCTTCTCGAAGGATGTACTGGGTTCTTTAAAGTGAACATGAGCCAATTGTGTACACTGGACCTACGGTTTACTGTACTGTAGAGCCTTATCCGAAAAGACTTGTTCCACCACCGGAACCATAGGCGAGCGTGCCATTCGAACCAGCGCCGATGTTTATTATATTATTATTTCTGTATGTCACGGTTCCCCTGTCTTAACCGCTTGGCCAGTCATTCGCTAGGGCCTAGAATAAGCTTTAACCCTAGCCTAGGCCAAGGGAGGAAATGGCCCAGCGGTGGGTATTGGTTCGACATGACCAAGTGGGTTTTAAGTCTGGAAATTCAAGGGGGGTGGGGGGAGGGAGGATGTTTGCCAGAAAAGAGGGGGGTTTGCTAGAAAAGGGGTTTGCCCGAACCATGACACCCCCGGCTACAGGCCTGGTTGGAGTCTGTCTTCACTGATCATTACAAAATTGCTTTAATGAATAAATAGGCCTAGCGAGACTATTCTTATAGTGTAACAATAACAATAAATTAGGCAGTGGCTGTTGTAACACAAGTCTCAAGCCGTGTTCACATATTCATATTAATTTTGACCAAGATGAAGGATAAATCTACCTTTGTCAAATTGTACTACCATTATTCATACTTGTAGTATAAATACAGAGGTTTTGAGCAAAGAACTTATAACAGTAGCGGAAGAATAAGCTGCTCCTTACACAATTCGCATTAAAACTGATGGAAAGTCCGCACTCCTACAAGTGGGGGACTATTTGATGGAGTGGAGAAACTTAAACAGAAAACAAAAAAACTTGATCAGTGAATATAATAATGGACCTTTCTGCTAAGCTCCGCCCCTTGGATGTGGTTGCTAAGGTCCCACAAATCATACGCGGACCCATGCATACTGTATGTAAGACAACACATGTGTTTGTGAGGCGCGAGCATATTTTTAGCTCTCTGCTGATTAGTCATTTGTTAAGCTTGATTGAAACGGAAAGGTCTATTACGTAAAAGCAAAGGCACCACCGTGATGGTAATTTTAAGATCTAGTAAAGATATTGAGCATGCGTGATCCATTTATTTGTTGATACATTTCTGTAAAAGTATGCATGGTATTAGTATGTCACATCACATCGTACAACCACTGGTTGAAGGATATAAAAGCCTGTTGTTGCCAGGTTGTTGCTAATGAAAAATGGTTAATGGTTAAAGATAGATACCAATGCGCAAAACCAAAGGTGGGGGGGGGGGTGGAACACATTGGTTTGTCATGTCAAAGGGGTCCATTGCTGAGTGATCTCCTTCTCAATAATACCTCCTTGCTTTTACGGAAAAAATTTCAGTGTGAACACGACTTTACTGTAGAGAAATAATAATAATAATTGTCAATTTATATAGCTCTATGCACTTTACAGCATGGTGTGGGATAAATTATTAAAAGTTTCACCTAAAAAAAGAATAATGAATAACAATAATAAATATTATTATATGATTGCTATGTTAAATAAATAATTTGAAAATACAAAATTTTATTTACTTTTTTTTCATCTATCTAATTGTTATATATTTAATTTCTTAGTCTTATTACCGTACTTACCTTTTACTGTTTGTTTTTCATGTCTTTTCTTCCCTTAATACCTTTATTTTCTTTCATATTTACGATCTGTCTCTCTTTTCCTTTACTTCCCTGTAATTTATTTCTTTACCTTTTCTTCCCTTATTCCCTTTTCCTCCTTTAATTTTTCTACATCTTTTCATGTTTTCCGTTTCCTTTTCTTACCTTGTACAGTATTTTCCTTTTCTTTCTTTTCCACATTTATTTTTCTTTCCTTTTTCTTTCTGTACCTTTTCCTTTTCTTTTCCTTTTTCCTTATCCTTTCATATCCTTTAATTTCTTGCTTTTATTTTTCCTTAACACCTTCCTTTTGTCTTTCTTTATCTTCCTTTCCTTTATTTATTTTCCTTTCCTTTTTCTTTAATTTCCTTTCGTATTTCTCCTTTCTTTTCTTATTCATTTCCCCCTTTTTTTCAAATTTCTTTCTTTATCTTTTCATTTTCTTTTCCTTTCTTAACCTCGTTTTCATTCTTTTTCTTTTCTTTCTTTCCTTTCGTTTTCATTTTTTCTCCTTTCTTTACCCTTTCGTTTACTTTCTTCTCATTTCATTACCTTTTTTTTTTTTTCTTTTCCTTTATTAACCTTTTCAGTTTCTTTCTTTTTCTTTTCTTTCTTTCCCTTTCATTTTCTTTTGTTTTCTTTTCCTTTCTTTACCTTTTCGTTTTCTTTCTTTTTCTTTCTTTACCCTTTCATTTTTTTTTCATTAAAAATAAATTACGTACGGTATAACAAACTGACTTTACACTCACTAAGGCGTTTGTCAACAAGGACATATGCAGTCAGAGTTCATTTAAGAGACTGGTGGTTATCCACTGACAATGATAGGTAATTAGAATATGCTGAATGTATAATTGTATATTCCTACAGTATAGTAGGCCCAGCAATGGTGTAGGCTGGTTTTATTCTTGGGTGGTGGGGGGAAAAAGCCTGGAAAAGTGCAAAAATTGAGGATGCAAAAATAAATACCTGTTCAAATGAAAACTTAAATGTCATACTGTACCATTGTAACCCACTTAGTGGAACTAATTTGCTGTTATAGAAGGGAGTGCTTCCACACCTCAAGCCTACACTCATGTCTTGCGTAGTAGAGGTAGGTTAATGGCTGATGGTTATGAACCAAATAAATTCTCTTTTTTAGGCTGCTGTCATTGCATTCCAGCATGCAAGCCACACTACAAGCGACTTGTGGATAGCATCTTCCCTGTCAACCCAGAGGTATGAAATACATTGTACATTAGGCCTTATATTAATATGCAATTATAGTCAAGCCGAAGGATCAATTATTTCCTGGGCTGAAGACAATTTTGGAAGGAAATAGCGACTCCTAAGACTTCTCTTTTCTGTAAGGTTCGAAATGTCTTGACAATATTTACTTTATTTTAAGTCAGTCACTCTGTTTTATAATATATTTTAAACACCTGCTTGTTGTAGTGGTGGCCATTTGCTGTGTGATATGCTCAGTGCATTAACTGCACATGTGTATTCGCTGTGCGTATGAGAATGATTTGCTATGCTAGCATACGCAGTGACACAAAAAATATCAGGCACTATATCGATATATTGCCTGGTCAGAGATAGGAAAATTTACATGAAAATGAAATGATGACGTCACAACTGACATATAAATGCTAACTATTGTAGTGTGCATTTTACTAGTAATTGATTTTTTTTTCAGCATCTTTAATGAAGGTAAAACCCAATCAGTGTCAAGACACTGTTTTCAACTAGGATCCTCGAACAAGACATTTTTTTTTATACATAAACCAAGTTTCATTATAAGGGTTAGAAAATGGAATTGTTTTTGATCGCGAGAGAAAATCCTGTTATTGTGACAGGATTTGAACCCAAGACCTTGGGTTTGGAAAGCAAGCATCTTCTTAACCACCAAGTTATTCAAATCAACTCATATTTAAATTACTGTCCAATTACCACTGTTTGCTTTTTGCTGTTTGGTAATCAACGGAGAATTTATTAGCATTCTACCCAATTGTTGATATTGTAAATGAATTATAAATTTGAATTTATTGTGTATTCTTTAATAATTAATTAGTGATTGTTCAGTTCAATTATTAACATTTTATGAACTTTCTTGATGTTTTATGACGTATGTCTTTTTATCATGGTATATTTTGTGATATTTGACTAGATTTTTTTTTTCCTTTTTGAAACCCTGTGTATGTTGAAATTGGGTTTTATCTTATATAAATAGATTACTTACTTTACTTACCATATCCACCTGACATCACAATAATCAAACTGTCATAACATGCATTCTATTGATTAACTTGCACCATCTTTTTACTTCAGGATGAACTGGTTCGAAGCCAGATGGAGAAATTGACATTCTATGCTGTTTCACATAATGAAAAGCTGGACCGAATTGGAACCTACCTATGTAAGAGGTTGAGCAGAGACGTGTATAGAAATAAAATAGGGTAAGTACCACTATCAGGCTAATACAGTATTGACAAAATTACCATCAATAGAGGTCAGTATTACTTGGTCTGTAATTTTTTGTTTTTCAGCTTTGCAACTGAGACCATAAGTAAAACTTAATGCTTATCCAGTAGCAGTGCCAGATATTTCCATATAAGGGGTAAAAGCTTTCTGACAGAGGGTCCAAGTTTCCTGATAAAGAATTTCCAAGTATCTCAACAAGGGTCCAAATTATCTAAGCCCCACAATGTTTAGAGCAAATTTCAGGCATGGGAAAAAAATGCCTCCAACCATGAATATTGTCTCAGTAAAATGTCTCCAGCACTAAATGTTATCTGTACACTACAGCCGAAACAGTTTTTAATTTTTTTTTCCAGAAATGCATCCGGGACATCCATGATGCCTCTGACCATCGGTTGCGCGATCGCAGACTTTTTCCAGGCCTTGCAAATTTTAAGAATAGCCACCTAGATTCACGGAAATGGCACTTTTAATTAAAGATGTGTTGTAAAATAATTAATGTCTTTCTCAAACAGGGGTTCATATTTCCCCTGTACCTTAATGAAATTTGCACTGACAATGCCACTCTTCATAGTTTCCTCTTCTCTATCATGCCAAGTATTAATCATAAATTTGTTGGGTTTTTTTAGACACGTGATCATCGCAATGCAAGCTCTGGATGAACTCTTGTTAGCCTGTCATGCTCAAAGCCTAAATCTCTTTGTAGAGAGTTTTCTGAAAATGGTCTCTAAACTGCTGGAATCTAACAACACAGATCTGCAAATTCTTGGTGGCAGCTCGGTATGTTGAACAAAGAATCAGATTATAATTGTTTTCATTTTTATTACCGGTATTCATTTTTATTGTCATTGTCATCATCACTATCATCATCATGATCATCTTTATCATCCTCATCCTTATGTCAGTATCCTCTTCCATATCATTATTGTAACAATCAGTGTCATCATTAATCATCTTTATCATCACCATCCTCATTATCAACATCCACATCACTATTATTTATCAGCATTATTAACACTCTCACCACTACCACCACCATATCATCATCATCAGCACCACTAACATTTCCAGGGTTTAAGCTGTCATTAGCCAAATAACCAAAACCTAATAAGTGTTGAATTTTGCTAAATATTTTCATTCCGAAAAAGCTAATGGAATTGAAACTATCATTGCATATATTCTTTTGTTTTGGACTAATCAAATTTCTATTTGGCTAATTATTTTCATACCGTATTAGCCAAATTGATAAATATTTTTTTTTTGTCATCTTAAACCCTGCATTTCAGGGGCGGACTTCGGGACCCCTGTCCCCGTAATAGAGTAAAAAAAAAAAGAAATTAATGATCGTCTAAAACACCTATTTCCGGGTGTTTATCAAACAAAACTTTCCCAAGGGCATGCCCCAGACTGGACCTACTAGGGTAGTATTATATCTTGATCGCCATCCCCCCCCCCCTCTAGAGGCACTTCTAAAAATTCAGGAGCAAAAATGATAATACTGATAATTTTCTCATTTTGTGGTGTGAATATTCTTAAAACTTAAAATAAACAGTGAGATTTTTTGTGTCATCCATAGTTTGTCAAGTTTTCGAACATAGAAGAAGATACGCCGTCCTATCATCGTCGTTATGATTTCTTTGTTTCAAAATTCAGCTCTATGTGTCACAACAACAGTGATAATTTAACGCACAGAAGAAGGTTAGTTCTAGAAAAACGAAATCCTAACGCATTGTGTCGGTGAATCCAATGATAATGAATGAATTCACCACAAGATTTAAGGTTTTGATGATATTGAATGAGAGTGCTCAGTGCTGATGATAGTATACATATTGTACATACAAGTAGTGGTTGATTCAATCGTTTTTGCAGTGCATACATAAGCAGCATTTCAGTTTAATCCTAGCTAGGAAATTTGAGTCTGGTCTCTGGGGATTCATGACAGCCTGAGTGCATAAAAGCTTTTTATGCACTATACAAAGTTGAATTATTACATTACATTATATGCTTTTAGCACTACCTGCTCTTAAAAAAAAGTTTACTATATTCTTTTTTGTTCTCAAGATCCTGAATCTTGACCCTGAACTCAAGGTTGAGAGGTGATAAAAATTTTATGATGATAGCGATGATATTTGACAAGAAATTCAAACTTTTTCTGCAGAATTCGAGTGACCGGTCTGAAAGGGCTTCAAGGTGTTGTACGTAAGACTGTGACGGATGACCTCCAGGTCAACATCTGGGACAAAGCACATATGGATAAGATAATCCCATCCTTCTTGTTTAACATGCAAGAAGCATTTGAGAGGTGATTTTAACACTCCAGCTAATCATTATTACCATTAATTTATGTACACACTTTCAAACTGCTGTGTGTGGCAATTTAGTAAAATACTGTTTGGAATATTTTTTCTGATTTACAGCCTTTTAACTACAAAAATTTCAAATCAATTACTTACAAATTATATTATTTATGAATTGCTTACTTAATGAAGAAATATTTTCTTGTTCTATTTTTTAAACAATAAGCAAATTATTTTTGTATTCTTCAAAGGAAGCAATTCAAATATAGAATTGTATTTATTGAGTATCTGAGCTGAGCACAGGCAATATTATTTATATTTCTTTATTTATTTGTTCTTTATACTGGGCTACCTACTCAGTAAAATGTTACTGTTCCCCCAGAGGGCCCAGTACCCATGAATAACAACACGAATATATTAAGAAAACATTAGAGTACAAAAATGATGAAACAGAATTACCTACCCCTGTATTCCAAATATGTGTAATTGATCCTCAGATAAAAATAAACCTGCTGGAGCTGTTTTAAGGGGTCTGCTTTCCTATTAGTAAATGATGATTCATACTTTTTGTAAATTATAAAATCGTAATTCTCCTTTTATTCTGTACTAAAAACATTAATTCTATAATAAGCTTTGGAATTTTCTGTTGCCCTTTTCTGTTTCAGTACCAAAACAGTTAAAACAAAATTAAATTGATCTTAAACAATTTGTATGTATTGTTGGTTTTAGACATGATTCACCTGCGCAGGAACTGTCTGAAGAGCGTCCTCATGTGTTAGCAGAAACTTGCCTCCGAGATGTTATGTGTAGAGCTGCTTATGGGAACATACATTCTGTACTGAAGCCAGTTTTGAGGTAAAAATGATGAGATGCTGTTTATGAGAATGACGAATGTGTGGATAATGGTGATGTTTATTGGATGGTGATAATGGTGACAAAGATAATGGTGGTGGTGATAATGTGGATGATGATATTGAAGATGGTAATGATGTTGTGGATGTGTGTGAAGATAAGGGAAATGATTCATCCCTATGCCAACAACTAAACCATCTGGTCACGATTTCCCACAAGCACACTTTCAACTGAACAGACTAAGGTCTGGACACGGCCAGGACAATGCATTCATGTATGCAGCGAATCGGGCTCTCCGATGCAAATCTGTGCCAGAATTGTGAGTTTGAGTGATCTACTCACATAGTCCAGTGTCACTCGCTCGGTTGGAATGCTCAGCGATCTTGCTATAATCAGCTGCGATTTCAGGGCTTGGCTGCAAGTCCAAAAATTTGGCTTTTAGTGCAATTTGTGTACAAGTATTTTTTTCATATCAGAATATAAATGATGATGATGATGATGAGGTTGAGGTTGATGATTAGGATGAGGATGATGATAATGCGGATGATAAAAGTAAGGATAGTGGTGATATAGATGTTGATGATGAAAACGATGGTGGCAGTTGCAAGAATGATGATAACACTAGTGTAATGTTGGATGCGGATGTTGTCGATATGTAAATGAATATATCGATAATTTTCTGTTGATTTTTTCTAACACACAATATACAAAATACTTATTTATTTTGCTTTGTTTTGACAGACACATGGACCTGCATGAGCTCTGGGTTCCAAACACCTTTGCTGTGAAAGTGTTCAAGGTGATAGTGTACTCAATACAGTCGCAGTATCTTTACGTTGCTCCTCACTTCCTTCTGCTCCACCTGGACGAGAACGCCAAGAGTAGTCCGGTAATGAAAACGAGCATTGTGGAAGTACTCAAGGCGACAGTTGCCGTGGCCGCAGATGGCGCTGTGGGTGAGTGCCCATCCTGAAATGTCTTTGTCTTTGAACACAGCATACTTGCAGATGATGATACTTCCCCTACATATTGTACATGACTATAAAATGCTTAAAAAGATGTGCTTCTCTATATTTCTATCATCAAAATTTATTGTACCACCATTGAATATTTTCAAGACAAAATAATCTTCCTGTATCGATTATGAATTAGTTATATATCAAATGGAACAAAAACAACTTTTAAAATGAAAATATTTTACTTTTTCTTTATTTCTAATATTCCAGTGTAACTGTACTAATTTGAAAATAATAATAATAATCTAGTACACAAGTATTGAATTTTCAGAAGTTTGTATCTGTTTTATTTTGTGCATATGCCAATTTTTGGAAGAGCCCCACTCTATAGGGATTTATTTATCAGAGTTTATCGCATTTTTTTTGTAACTGTTTTATATTGAAATGAAATTCATACAATTTTTGAAGCCTTACTGAAACATGTACGTTAATCATAGGTCCCTCAATCCTGGAAGTATTCAACACTCTTCTGCGTCACCTGCGTTTGTCTGTGGACCAGCGTATGTCCGGTGGAAACCAGTCTGTGATAAGCGTAAGCTCCAAGCAAACGTTGGATAGACAAGGCTATAATGAGAATGAGGAAATTGTCTTTGAAGAGGCCATTATTGATACGATAGGTATTTCATCTCTTATAATCCCACTACAACTATCTGGTTCACTTTTTTGTACAGTTTTTGTTTCATATCCATTAATTTAAAATCTTTTTCATAGAAACTGCTAATCCAATAATTGTTTGTATTTTTTTTATAGACTGATATAAAGAATTTGAATTCCCATGATATGTAGCCAATAAATCATGTTGTATTTTTTGTGAATGCTTACCTGGATAAACTGACTAATTACCGTACCTGTTTTCACAGAAACAAGAATTCCCCTCAAAAATACAATGGTACAGACACCATGCATGAACATCCCAGAAACCCAAAACATCATTCTTTTTTAGAAAGACATTTGCGGGTCACTAATTCATGTGTCTTCTGTTAATACTCACCTGGGTAAACTGACTAATTACCTATCAAACGAGAATACCCCCTCGAAAATAGAATGGAACAGTCGGCCCCAGGCACCATGCATGAACATCGCAGCAACCCAAAATGTCATCATTCTTTTTCAGAAACACATAATGTGATAAGGCAATGCTGACAGCTCTAAAATGTTCGCTATGTTGTACATACTCTGATGTAAAGCATTTCCATATTTAACTAATAAATTTCCTTTAATTACTGATCCAAAAAGCTTGCCTTCTGGTTGAAATATCTTGACTTTGAGCGATCTAGATTTTTGAATATCATATGTGGAACATCCCAGAAACCCCAAAATATTTCTTTCTTAGAAAGATATAATGTGATAAGGCAAGTTCGACAGCTCTAAAATGTTCGCTATGTTGTACATACTCTGACGTAAAGTATTTACTTGTGTAGCCAATAAATTTCCATTAGTTACCGATCCAAAAATCTTGCCTTCTGGTTGAAATGTTTAATTTTTGACCGATCTAAATTTTTGAATTTCATATGTAGAACATCCCATATGTAGAACGTTCGCTATGTTGTACATACTCTGACGTAAAGTATTTACTTGTGTAGCCAATAAATTTCCATTAGTTACCGATCCAAAAATCTTGCCTTCTGGTTGAAATGTTTAATTTTTGACCGATCTAAATTTTTGAATTTCATATGTAGAACATCCCAAGAACCAAAACATCATTATTATTTTATTCAGAAAACATTTGTAGTAAGACATGTCTGAAGGCTTTTACGTTTTTGTGATGTGTAACCAGTAATTACAGTTTTTCCTTTAATTACTCATCCAAAAGCTTCACATTTGGCTAGATAATAATCATTTAATAAGATTATAATTTTCTGCCAATCTAGTGAATTTCAGACTTGTATAACTGACCTTGGATGGATAAGACTGTGTGAACATAAGAATTTTCTGTCTACCCTACCATAAATATTCTGGCTTTTAGTTCTTTTTTTTTTAATTCTTTAGTTTCTTTTTGTTCACATACACCACAATGGTTAGTCCTATCAAGCCATTATATTGAGCCAAGGTCTCCTATTGTCCTCTGTGTAAATATAGAACTTGCTACCATTCTTGGTCTGGCTTTGTTCAAGTTCATTTTATTCACACACAGCACAAATTGACTAGTAACAAAGCTTACTTCTTGTGCTGTGTACAGTATGTGAACATTGAAGAACTTGCAACTATTTATAATTTGGCTTACATCAATTTTATCCATATTATTATTATTATCATTTTTAAAAACAGGACAACAGTTCTTACTTTCATTATAGGTAAAGCCTGTATTTTATTAAAAAAATGACCCCAAGTTTCGGTAGTATGCTCCTAAAATTATCAGTTGTAAATAATGTATTGCACGCAGGTAATCTCTTATGTATTGGGAAATCCATGCCACAAAATCGAGCTTAACTATTAAACAAAACACTGTTTTGTTTAGTAGTTTAGTAGTCTTAATAACAATTAATCATTTATTGATTCTGTTATTTCTTGTTCTTAATTTCTAAGTGGAAGCAGTTTAGCGCAGTGGGAATGGTTTGGTGTCTGAACCGTGAAGTCAGGGTTTCAATCCTCTGCTTTCGAATTTGTCCCCGAGCAAGGCACTTAATCTACATTGCTTTAGTCTACCCAGCTGTATCAATGAGTACCTATGGTGGACAAGCGTCCCACCCAGGAGGAGTATTACACTCTCATCCCCTTCACACCACAGAAACTGGATATAATCTCCAGCCCTTTGGGCCCTAGTTGCTCGGCAAGGATTTATTATTTTTAAAAAATATTTAATTGGTAATATTATTTGACATCCAAATCCAGGTGCTTTTGCAATGATTCTCCCAGACTATCAGAAAATTGAGATTATGATGTTCATCATGGGCAAAGTTCCCAGCCCCAAGTTTAATGAGGACATGGACGATGCTGCCGTCGTGCAGCCCTGCAATGGCATCGGAGATCAGCTACTGCAGAGTATGCTTCTAAAGAGCTTACTGGAAGTCGGAAACAAGTACACAACAGGCAACATGGCCGTAACATTCCCAGCATCCTTCTTTCAACCTCTACTGAACATGTCATTGGTTACTGATCCAGGTATGAATTGTCAAAAAATTTGCATACTAAATTTGCATATACAGTAGTCTTCATTCTGTCATTTTTAGCTTATAAAAATAAACAATTCAGCCATTCATGAAATTTGTTTTCCTTTTTAACATTGGTTTATACATCATATGAAACACATTTTATTTGTCCAGGCATCCGTCTAATAGTCCAGCAGATATTACAGACCCTTATTGATCGTCATGACAACGTGGATAAATTACTAGGTAATCGACCAATTCCAGATGACATTAAAAATCTTGGACTGAAGGTGGAGAAGACATCACGACAAGATACCATGTTTATGCGAAAGGTAAATAGAAAACTGCAAATAATTTGTTACAAGGATCACCTTGTCAGGAGTTGCATGAATGATTTGCCCCCATTGTGGTTTAGGCTATGTTTATACACGGCAGCTAACGGTTAGCAGAATCCAGATAAATAGCATACGTGCTCTCCATTGTGTTCATACAAAAAAATACCCGATCCAGATATCAAGAAGGTGACGGTGGGATTAATGGCCAATACGAAACTGGAAATTGGAAATATGCGTACGTCTGATTGGTTAATGATAGAAAGCACTCAACTTGCTTACCAATAGAGCTTGCTAACTGTTAGCATATCAAGATCGTGGTAAAGGTTAGTGCTAACTGATCGGGCGTTCTGACATGGGTGTGAACGGTTAGTTCCCGATTCAGATACTAGGGCTCTAGTGTGAACATAACCTTAGTCTCTCAGCCTTAGAGTTCAGGGTTCAAAATTTTTTTTTCCTTGCCATTTTAAGCTCTATCTACAGTATCAAAATTTCTTTGACAAAGAACTGTTGTATGCCCATATATAGTCATGATGTGCCTAGCGAGTCGAGTGGCCATGCGGTATGGCAGGGGCGCCGCTAGCTACAGCCTTAACAGCTGCACTGGTTCCAGCTGCTCCTCGCCCAGGGTTTGGTTGGTAGAACCAAGCATTCTCGGATAAGGACTTAAAATGGAGGCTCAGTGTATACACCTGGCTTGTGTGCACTTTAAAGAACCCATTGCATCTTTCGGAAGATTAGAGGGTTAACCCGATGCACAATGAGGCTGCAAGTTATGGGTTATTCTCCTACCTTTACCTTCCTTTACCTATATATGGTCATAATGTGATGTCGTCATGACCATATTTGGGCAGTTACTTACATGTTTTTGTCTAAATCAGGTGGTTTGAGCCACTGTGTGTGTGCACTGAACCGATGAGATCTTTAGCTCCCCGGTTCAATTCCCATCGCTGCCTATCCTTGTGTTTCAGCTGGAGGGCCGAAATACAAGTTACGATAGTGCACCGTCTTTCGGATGAGACGTTTAAGCCCTTGGTCTTGTGTGCAATATGGCCCATGTGCATGTTAATGAACACAGTACACCCTTTGAAAAAGAGTAGGAGATTATCTCGCGGTGTACTGTCCAATTCACCACCAGAAGGATCCCGAGACAAGTCTTCAGACTTCCTGCGTTATCCTTGGTGTGATTCACACCGAAAATACTTATCTTATCTATAAAATTTGATAGTCTGGACAGGGCCTTGGAGCATAATGCCCCTTTCACACACTGACAATGTTTGCACTCCCGAGAGCGACCTTACTGCTTACCCTATTGCATTAGCGCTATTCCTTTCAGTGTCATGTAAACAGATTTGTTTGAGTTTTTGCGCAGAAAATTGGGCCAAATAAAAAAAATTATTGTGTTGGCCACACCCAATTGACTCAAAATGTACAAAATTGAGGTTCAGCATTTTAGTCTTTTTAATGAGCTACAAAGGCTGGAATATGCCTATCGTGCTGGACGGTAGGCAATGTGATACAGGGCCGTAGCCACGAGAATTAAAGTAGTCAGGTTGCGAGCGAAGCGCGAGCACAAATGATTGGGGCTAGGGGGCCTCCAAGAGACCCAGGTCGGGGTTCAGGGTTCCGGGGCCATTAAACCATTAAACTGTAATATTATTGTAAACCATTAAACTGTAATATTATTAACATTAAGCCATTAAACTGTAATTTATTATTAAAAGGCCAATCAACACATAACATAAAACATGTACATATCAAAATTATTATGTTTAATTTTTCCTCGTCGGTGCTTGCATAAAACGTGATTTGGATCTAACATGTCACGTGTATAATGATATTGATACTGTACAATATTATGCTAAACATTTACAGAGTTGACTTCCTTATGTTGTGGTCATATTAGACTGTAATATTATTATTAAAGAAGTCCATTCAACAAACAACATAAAACATATACATATCAAAGTTATTAGTTTAAAGTTCTCATGTCAGTGCGTGCATAAAACGTAATTTCCTAAAATTTGGATATCTGAGATTGACAGACAAAATTCTCTATAATATACTAGTTTAACGAGTGGACTTCCCTGATTTAAGGAAATATATGTGTATATTAAGATACGCAAAGTTTAGGAGGTTAGAAGTTTAAAAGAGGGGACTTCCTTATGTTGTGATCTTATTAGACTGTAATATCATTAAAAACCATTCAACAAAAAACATAAAACATATCAAAATTATTAAGTTAAACTTTCTACTTCGGTGCATGAATATAATGTAATTTTGGGATATGAGATTTACATAGCATTTGAGAATGTACTGAATATAAAATCTTAAATATTTTACATTTTAATCAGCAATCTATCAGAAATACGGAGATTGGTTATACTGTAAAAAGCCTTCTGAAACACTGCAATACTAAAACTGGGATCCAACAGGCAGTGAATATTCCATTTTGATTTAGTGTAGATGTTTTTTACATATTTTTATTTTATTTGAATTCTTTTTATTTTGTATGATTCATATGTTATATTTTCCACCGACAGATAAATGAATGCCTGAACTGATATTTTATGGGTTTCATATTACTTTCTATACAAAACAGATATCATAAATCATCTATTGTCCGACTGCGACAGTGTTATGAAATCATTTTGCTCTTCAATATAGATTTGATCTTCTGTTGTATTTTTGTGTATTTTTTACTTTTTAGGCATAAATGCATTATTGGTTCAAAAGAGAAAAAAATTCCTACCGACCTACCGATTTTTCGGATTTTCCCAAAACATAGCCAATACAAGAATTTTTTTTTGGCCTTGCTCTCTGCTCAAGGATAGGAGGATTATGTGACTGGCAAATGATGAAGTATCACTGATTTTTAAATAATCATTATGGTAAAGGAAATTAATTAACCCAATAAATCTTTTACCATTGTGAAGCTAAATGTAATAAAATATAGGACATAATTATATAATAATATTTAAAAAAAATCATTTTCTGCCACTTGTTTCAGGTTTCATGATAAAATGTCACATTATTATAAGTTGCAGTTCGCTATAACCTGAATAAATATTATGGCTTTCATATAACAATTCTTTTTTTTTTGCTAAAGCGTTGTCTACACTATCACATTTTCTCTGACAAAAACCGTTGGCTGCCATATTATTATTTTTTTAATTATTTATATAATTTATATAGCGCCTTTTCTTGGCAGATACAAAGCGCTTCTTTTCCTGGTCATTGGTTCATATGCTTTAAGTGTTGCTGCTGGTTATCAGCGCAGCAGCAGGCAACCCCACCAGGTACCCATTTATACTCCAGGATGGACAGAAACAATTGCTCAATTACATAAGCGAAATGTATAGCGAGGGATTGAAACCCCTTACCTCAAGGTTGGGAAACCAAACCATTCCCGCTGTGCCGATATATGGTCATAATGTGACATCATCGTGACCATATTTAGGCATATCACATGCTTGGACAGGGCTTAACATGAATCATTGCAAGAATTTTCAGACTTTCTGTAGATTGTGATAATTTTTTTTTGTTTTTGATATTATTATGCAATATTATTATTTTATATTTAATAACTATATAGAATATTGATGCTTTACTTTTCTGATAATAAGAGGAAAGTAAAGTTTAGAGATTAGAAATTGAAATAGAGTAGATAGCCATCAAAATTATATTATTAAATTTCTTCACTTTATTCAGCTGTTTGTTTATGTTTTAGAATGGGTCTGATATTTATTGGCATTTCTATGAGAACATGAGCCAGTCCTCAAACACAGTGGAACATTTTGAAGCAATGTACTGCACACTTGCCCTGTTGCTTATTGAGCTGGGAGGTGATGACATAGTGGTGGATCTCATCGGCCTTGCCCTAGGCCTACAGGTAGTTCAAACTCACCACCTTTTAGAAGAACTTAATCTAAAATGTTTTACATTTTAGGTCCATAAAATTTATTATACCTATAAAAACAAGCCTCTGGGCTTATAGAGCTATCACCTGCTTTCCATGTACTACATGCTTGCTTGTCTGCACATTGAGCTGGGAGGTAATGACACAGTGGTGGATGTCATCGGCTAATGCTTGCAAATAGCTGAAACTCACTTAATTTTGGAAGATCCTGACTTTAATGTGTGGAGTGGAGCTGAATATCTTGGTAGTTAAGGGCCCTGGTTTTTCTCACTACTAAAAAGAGCTTCACTCCCTAAGTCTTGTAAAGAGACTTAGTTTCCTTACTGTTGGATGTGAAAGGTAAACAAATTAAAATAAATAAACAGTTTATCAATCCCATAAATTTAAATATTACATATTTATGCATTAGATAACAATCAACATTTTAAGAATATATTCTTTCTGTGTTGAGCTTGGAAATATGATTAAGTATTTATATTTCTTGTTTGTATGCAAGTAAGTTTTTTAGAACAAAAATTTGAGTGAGAAAATATTTTGTTGCCAATTAGCAAATGCCATATATTAATCCTGTTTTTTTTTTAAATTTATGTATCTCATGAATTGACTGTTAATCAATGTAAAGTTTTTCGAAGTATCTGTAATAGCAAAAATTTATTTTTTTTTAATGCATGTTTTATTGAAAGTTTATAGTTATTTAATATTCATAAATGAGCTATGTTTTTATTTAACTTTTTATTTTTTTTTAGATTTTACAAAAGTATATCTTTAAAGAAGAGTTTATAGCTGTAATAGTTCAAAACAAGAATTAATATTAAACCCATTAATTTCAAAGTGGTTAAATTAGTAAAAATTTAAGAAATATAATAACATATTATTGTATAAATAATTCAGAAAATGCTCATCAGCTGTAAGGAGAGAAGAGACTCTCCTGAGGATATTGTTAAGTAATTTTTTGAGCCACATAAACGTTGTCTACATTGTACATGACTTTTGTCTTATTTTCTTCTGCTCAGGATCTGGCTTGTTCTGATGTCAAACTCCCTGCCTCCCATCGCTGCTGTATTCATGCGCTGGTAGCTCGGTATCTCCACCTTATTGCAGAGCTCTCGGCAATTCCAGCACTCCGCCAACATGTGAGGGCGGTAAGTAAAGACATTGAACTTAAAGGGAGAAGTTTACCAATTTTTTGAAATTCTACATGTGATGAGTAATTAAAAAAAATTGGGTATTTTGTAGCGGAGTATACAAAATCAGTTCCCAAATTGTATTGGTATATCTCCTTTATGATGTCATGATGATCTTGATGTAATGATGATCATGATGTCATGATGTTCATGATGTCATGATATAAAATTGGTAAACTTCTCCTTTAGGTGTAATGCTGATCAATTTCTGTAGATGAGTATGTTGTCATGATGATCTTTATATCATGATAATCATGATGTCATGATGATCATCGTGTCATGATATAATATTGGTAAACGTCTTATAATGTAAAATGCTGATCGAATTTCCGTAGATGAGTATGATGTATTGATGATCTTGATGTCATGATTATGATGATCATAATGTCGTGGTGTCATGAGAATTTTGACAACCTGATGACCAGTGGTAGCTGCATAAATTTACAATGGGCCTATCTATTAATTGGTTTGGCACTGCAAATTGTAAAGTTGCAATGTTATAATTATGACACTGGTTGTTGTTCTGAACACTGATTTTCCCCCCTTCTATTTCATGTGTTGTTATGTGCATTGTAAGTAAACATATGCGAATTATTGAATTGAACTGAACTCTCGGCAGGCTCATTAGATTTGTTCAAGGTTATTACTGGATCACATTCCCTTCTCGTCGTAAAAGTCAAAACATTGTGAAATTCTTTCACCTGAAGAAGTGTACTGAGTACATTAAAATCCTATGTTTTAGTGAATATTCAAGTCTTAAAATGCTGTGAATGTTTACACTGATAACAATACTGTTTTTTAATAGACTAGAACAGCTTACCATGTTTATGTTTAACAAGGAAAAGGTTTATAAGTGAATATTCAAGTCTTAAAATGCTGTGAACATTTACACTGATAACAATACTGTTTTTTAATAGACTAGAACAGCTTACCATGTTTATGTTAAACAATGAAAAGGTTTACAAGTGAATATTCAAGTCTTAAAAGGCTATGAACGTTTACACTGATAACAATACTGTTTTTTAATAGACTAGAACCGTTTACCATGTTTATGTTAAACAATGAAAAGTTTTACAAGTGAATATTCAAGTCTTAAAATGCTATGAACGTTTACACTGATAACAATACTGTTTTTTAATAGACTAGAACAGCTTACCATGTTTATGTTAAACAATGAAAAGGTTTACAAGCTCTACCAGTGCTTAGATTCACCACAACTCCTTAATACATGAAATTTGCCATGTGCATGAAAAACCCTTGGTTACAGATCTAGTGAAAGTCGATTGTTTTTCATTACTATTTTGTAAACATTTCATTAATATGAATTTAATGCAATATGAGACTTTTTTTTTTTTTTTTTTTTTTCTTTTCATTTTATCCTATAAGCCTATTTATGTATCTTGGTCTGCTAACTGAACATGTTGTCCCATATCACATAAAAGTAGAATAAATATGAAGTAAACCTACTCATATTCACATTTTGTAACATAATATTATTAATAGCAGTAAGTCAAAGGTGTGTGTTGATAATTCCAGATGCAGCTGTGTGTCTACACATATTGTGTAGATGGATTTTATTTTGCTACTAAAGTAGCTTTTTGTATTGCAAAATAGCCATTCTATTCACTTACAATGCTTCACAGCATAACACTGTAATGGATTTGTAAGGATTGTTTTGATCTCTGTTGGACTCCACAGCATAAACTATTAGATGTTGGTCTAATTGGTCTATGCCACTATAGTATTGTTGATATTGTACAATATACATA